TGCAACAACTTAAAACAATTTCCAAGTTCAGTTTATTAACTCAATTTGTAACATTTAAACAAGACTGCTCAGTCTGTGTGATTCTCTAAACAGAGAAAAAAGTGCAAATGGGATTCACTGGGATGTGCATTTTTATAGACTTAACACAGTAACATTCAAAACTTTTTTTAAACTGTAAACATTGGTCACTTGTCAGCTTCATCAGCTTATTCCTTTTCAAAAAGGTAGATGACTTTTTAACATTTGGTTTTTTTTTGGTGCAAAATTTGCAACAATATTGTTTATATTTAACGTTTGTCTGTTAGATGTTCTGAGAGTTGGAGGTCGTCTGAAATGTCAAATATACGTCTCCCGATCGTGTCATTGGACAGAGGGACAGTATTCAGTGTCTCAGCACTTTCCTCACCTATGATTGTGACCATGTCCAATGCTACCGGAGTATTAGCTCCTCTGCTGTTGTGTGATGTTTTTTGCACCTTGCGATGTGGCGGTGTGTGTACGAGGCTAATGGTATGTTTTTATTTACTGATGCCGCGCTCACTAAATGACCGGCCTGTTGGCGATACTCATCAAGCTTTCGATGAAAAAAAGTCCAGTGGTCTATTGACATAACTGGGTGTAAGGTCTCCAGGTGCCGTCTTAATTTGTGTGGTTTCATGCTGTCTGCTGCCAGAGTTTTTAAACATAAAACACACACAGGTCTTTCCTCATTTCCGACCGTATTCACGGTAAACCCAGGGCTGTGTAGGCTTCGTCATATTTCCTGCTCTCATTAGGTTTATGCCGGTTACCGTCACTTGCTGTTGCCTCTGACGTCTCCTCCGATTTTCTTTTTACTCCTGTCAGAAACTTCTCCATCTCTCCTCCTCCGTCAGTCACCCCTGCCTGTCGCGCCCCCCCTGACACCTCACTGCGCTCCCCCCCCAGTCATATTAATACTCACATTCCTCGAGGCACAGGCCGAGGAGGTGGAGTAGCCGCCATATATGATTTGAGCGTTTTAATGGACCCTAAACCTAAACTAAATTATAATTCATTTGAAAGCCTTGTTCTTAGTCTTTCTCACCCGACCTGGAAAACACTGCAGCCAGTTCTATTTGTTATAGTGTACCGCGCTCCTGGACCGTACTCTGATTTTATATCTGAATTCTCAGAGTTTTTATTAAGTTTAGTCCTTAAATCAGATAAAGTCATTATTGTAGGTGATTTTAATATTCATGTGGATGTTGACAATGACAGCCTTAGTAATGCATTTATATCATTGATAGACTCAATTGGCTTCTGTCAGAGTGTAAATAAACCAACTCATTGTTTTAATCACACTCTTGACCTTGTTCTATCATATGGCATTGATATTGAACATTTAATAGTCTTCCCACATAATCCTTTCCTATCTGACCATTATTTAATAACTTTTGAATTCATGTTGTTAGATTATAAGCCATTAGGCAAAACTTCCTACAGCAGATGTCTATCTGACAGTGCTGTAGCTAAATTTAAGGAGGAGATTCCTTCAGTGTTTAATTCAATGCCATGTCTGAATTTAACAGAATCCTATAACAACTTTAGTCCCTCTGAAATTGATAATCTTGTTGATAGTGCTGCAGGCTCACTACGATCAACATTAAACTCTATCGCTCCTATAAAAAGGAAATTATTGAAACATAGGAGACTAGCACCGTGGTACAACCACCAAACCCGCCAGTTAAAGCAAATAGCTAGGAAATCTGAAAGGAAATGGCGCTCTTCCAAATTATCAGAATATCGCTCAATTTGGCAAGATAATCTTAAAACTTATAGAAAGGCCCTCCGTAATGCCAGAGGAGCCTATTACTCAGCACTAATAGAAGAAAATAAGAATAACCCTAGGTTCCTCTTCAGCACTGTAGCCAGGCTGACAGAGAGTCACAGCTCTATTGAGCCACATATCCCCATAAACTTAAGTAGCAATGACTTCATGAGCTTCTTCTATAATAAAATTATTACTATTAGAGAAAAAATTAATCACCAACTGCCATCAACAGTTATCAGTGGCTCTCCAAGTTCAGGAACTTTTACTAATGTAAACTCAGATATATATTTAGACTGTTTTTCTGCTATCGATCTTCATCAGTTAACTTCAATCATTTCTTCATCGAAGCCATCAACCTGTCTATTAGACCCGATCCCAACTAGGCTGCTTAAAGAAGTCGTACCCTTAATTGGCACTTCTTTACTGGATATGATTCATCTTTCTTTATTATCAGGATATGTACCACAGTCCTTTAAAGTAGCTGTAATTAAACCCCTTCTTAAAAAGCCCACTCTTGACCCAGGGGTTTTAGCCAATTATAGACCGATCTCTAACCTCCCCTTCCTCTCTAAGAAGAGTTGTGTGACTTTTTACATAACAATAGTTTATTTGAGGATTTTCAGTCAGGATTTAGAGTTCATCACAGCACAGAGACAGCTCTGGTTAAAGTTAATAATTACCTTCTGATTGTTTCAGACAATGGACTTGTCTCTGTACTTGTATTATTAGATCTTAGTGCTGCATTTGACACCATCAACCATGATATTCTTTTACAGAGACTTGAGCATCAAATTGGCATTAAAGGAACCGCACTAAGCTGGTTTAAGTCATATTTATCAGATCGTTCGCAAAAAACTACAGTTAGTCATGGAGTTCCACAAGGTTCTGTACTTAGACCAATACTATTTCCTTTATATATGCTCCCTTTAGGCAACATTATTAGGAATCACTCCATTAACTTTCACTGCTATGCAGATGATATGCAGTTATATCTATCGATCAAGCCCAATGAAATTAATCAATTTTCTAAATTACAAACATGTCTTAAGGACATAAAATCCTGGATGACCTGCAATTTTCTGATGTTAAACTCAGAAAAAAACGAAATTCTTGTACTTGGCCCCAAAAATCTTAGAGATCTGTCTAAAGATATAGTTACTCTAGATGGCATTACCTTGGCCTGTAGCACCACTATCAGGAATCTTGCCGTTATCTTTGATCAGCATTTGTCATTTAATTCCCACATGAAGCAGACCTATAGGACTGCCTTCTTTCATTTAAGTAATATTAAAAAAATTAGACACATCCTATCACAGACAGATGCAGAAAAACTAATCCATGCATTTGTTATTTCAAGGCTGGATTACTGCAACTCTTTATTATCAGGTTGCCCCAATAAGTCCATTAAAACGCTCCAATTAGTTCAGAACGCTGCAGCACGAGTACTGACAGGAACTAGAAAAAGAGATCACATCTCTCCTGTACTAGCTACTCTGCATTGGCTCCCTGTAAAATTTAGAATAGAATTTAAAAAATCCTCCTCCTCACCTATAAAGCTCTTCATGGTCAGGCCCCTTCATATCTTAAAGAGCTCATAGTACCCTATTACCCCTCTAGAACACTACGTTCTCTGAATGCTGGGCTACTTGTGGTTCCCGTAGTCTCTAAAAGTAGAACAGGAGCCAGAGCCTTCAGTTACCAAGCTCCTCTCTTGTGGAACCAGCTTCCAGTTGTGGTTCGGGAGGCAGACACCCTCACCACATTCAAGAGTAGGCTTAAGACATTCCTCTTTGATAAAGCTTATAGTTAGGGCTGGATCAGGTGAGTCCTGAACCATCCCTTAGTTATGCTGCTATAGGCCTAGACTATCGGGGGATTTCCCATGGTGCACTGAGCTCCTCTCTTCCTCTCTCTTTCTGCACTCATTCATGTTCCATTAATGCATGTTACTAACTTCACTTCTTCCCCGGAGTTCTTGTGCTTTCTCGTCTCGCAGGTTCTTATCAATCCTGGTGGAGCCTCCTGCCATGGTCCTGCTAGATTGCCATTGCCAATACTGTTGTTGCTGTGCACCTGTCTGTCTGTCTGTCTGTCTCCCACTCTCTCTCTCTCTCTCTCTCTCTCTCTCACCCCAACTGGTCGAGACAGACGACCACCCACCTAGAGCCGGAGGATCTGTCCTAGGTTTCTGCCTTTTAACAGGCAGTTTTTCCTTGCCCTTGTCTCCAAGGTCTTGCTCATGGTGGTACTGTTGGGTCTCTGTAATTAATGTTAAAGGAGTTCGGTCTAGACCTGCTCTATTTGAAAAGTGTCTTGAGATAACTTCTGTTATGAATTGGCGCTACACAAATAAAATTGAGTTGAACTGAATTGAATTGGTTGTACTGGTTGTATTGATCACTGGTTGTACTGGTTGTATTGTTCACTGGTTGTGATCAGTTATGCTACCCTATGTATTCTAACAAACAATGTTGGTTTTAGCCAACAATAAATTATGTATCGGAGGTCAAAGGTCAACATCTACCTTGTCCATGTCCTCAGGTGAGGGGGCGGAGCTTCCCTGCAGCACTGACACCACCTGCTGGTACAGGACGGAGCTTTCTCCGAGACTTTGGCCTAGTTGCCGTAGAAACCACCGACTGCGTTCAAACAGCTGCTGCTCCAACACCTGCAGAGGAAAACCACAGAAGAAGAGTTACTGCGGGTTCGGGGAGTACCTGAGTGACGCCTTGATGTCCGAGTGATGTCACATACCAGTCCACAGCGGCGGGCCTGTCCTCGGTTCAGGAAGGCGGCGTAGTCTCTGAGCAGCTGAGGCCAGGGCCGTAGCACGCGCCTCAGTCCGTTGTACAGGAGCTCTGGGGCCCCTGAAGGCCCCACCGCTGAGAACTGATCCAGAACCTGCAGCAGCTGCTCAGAAAGGCCCTGACACACCTGCACCGCATCACACACCTGCACAGGTGACAGGAAGTACTCATTAACTCTCTTTGACCAATCAGGACACAAGACATGTTCTTATCGATCCTGGTGGAGCCTCCTGCCATGGTCCTGCTAGATTGCCATTGCCAATCATGTTTTTTTATTTTATTAATATTATAAAGAGTTTGATCTGGACCTGCTCTATTTGAAAAGTGTCTTGAGATAAATTCTGTTATGAATTGGCGCTGTACAAATAAAATTGAATTGAATGGAATTGAATACTGTTGTTGCTGTGCACCTGTCTGTCTGTCTGTCTGTCTCTCTCTCTCACCCCAAATGGTCGAGGCAGACGACCACCCACCTAGAGCCGGAGGATCTGTCCTAGGTTTCTGCCTTTTAACAGGCAGTGTTTCCTTGCCCTTGTCTCCAAGGTCTTGCTCATGGTGGTACTGTTGGGTCTCTGTAATTAATGTTTTAAAGAGTTCGGTCTAGACCTGCTCTATTTGAAAAGTGTCCTGAGATAACTTCTGTTATGAATTGGCGCTATACACATAAAATTGAATTTAATAGAAATTGAACAAATATCTGTCTGCTGATTGGTTCATTCAGTCTGATCTGGGACCAGGTCACAGTCTAAGTTCTGATGCGGTTTGTTTACTATCTGTGTGAGTGTGAGTGTGTGAGTGTGAGTGTGTGTGTGTCTCACTCTGAGCAGATAATCCTGAGCAAACTGTTCGTCCTCAGACTCCCTCTGATCACCTTCATCATCATCCTCCTCCTCCTCACTGTCCTCTGACGACACTTTCTCCTGAACAACGACAGCACAAACAGCTACATCTTTATTACTATTTATTACAGTTTATTACAGTTTATTAATGTTTATTACAGTTTATTATTGTTTATTATTTTATTGCAGTTTATTACAGTTTATTAATGTTTATTGATGTTTATTACGTTTATTATTGTTTATTACAGTTTATTATGATTATTACTGTTTATTATGTTTATTACAGGTTATTATTGTTTATTATTTTATTGCAGTTTATTAATGTTTATTACCGTTTATTATAGTTTATTAATGTTTATTATTGTTTAATAATGTTTATTTCTGCTTATTACGGAAGCCGAGAACGGCCATGGATTTTTTTTTTTATGCACTGTTATGTCGTGACAATGACTTATTATCGTGTTATCTCGATATAACAATAATCGTTTTCTTGTGATAACAAATGAATTAATTTCCTTATATGATGCGCCAGCAACACCCTCTCACGGCCCCATCTACTCCCATGTTAATTGTAGAGAAGAAATTTTGAAAGGAGGTCGTTGCACCATTTCTTTCTCAATCTCCCGAGGTCACATTTTTTTAACTTTAGCCACTGAAACTTGGCAGTCCTATAGTCAACGAGATGACGATGCTCACGGTCTTTTCGGTTATCATTTTGGCCATTTTTTGGTCGTTTCTGACCAAGGGTTCGAGGGGATTCATTTTGAGATTTTCTGTGTCTCTCAGGAGTCAGAGACTCAACTGTTATGGTCTCCCCTGGTTTCCACGACAACCAAAGCCTTCCTGTGAACACACACGCACAACAAATCCTGATCAAAGATAACTCCAAGATTCCTGACAGTGGTGCTAGAGGCCAAGGTAATGCCATCTAGAGTAACTACAGTGGGTACGGAAAGTATTCAGACCCCTTTAAAATTTTCACTATTTGTTTCATTGCAGCCATTTGCTAAAATCAAAAAAGTTCATTTTATTTCTCATTAATGTACACTCAGCACCCCATCTTGACAGAAAAAATGTAGAAATTTATTATTAAAAAAGAAAAACTGAAATATCACATGGTCATAAGTATTCAGACCCTTTGCTGTGACACTCATATTTAACTCACATGCTGTCCATTTCTTCTGATCCTCCTTGAGATAGTCCTGCTCCTTCATTGGAGTCTAGCTGTGTTTAATTAAACTGATTGGACTTGATTCGGAAAGGCACACACCTGTCTATATAAGACCTTACAGCTCACAGTGCATGTCAGAGCAAAAGAGAATCATGAGGTCGAAGGAACTGCCCAAGGAGCTCAGAGACAGAATTGTGGCAAGGCACAGATCTGGCCAAGGTTACAAAAGAATTTCTGCAGCACTCAAGGTTCCTAAGAGCACAGTGGCCTCCATAATCCTTAAATGGAAGAAGTTTGGGACGACCAGAACTCTTCCTAGACCTGGCCGTCCAGCCAAACTGAGCAATTGTGGGAGAAGAGCCTTGGTGAGAGAGGTAAAGAAGAACCCAAAGATCACTGTGGCTGAGCTCCAGAGATGCAGTAGGGAGATGGGAGAAAGTGCCACAAAGTCAACTATCACTGCAGCCCTCCACCAGTCGGGGCTTTATGGCAGAGTGGCCCGACAGAAGCCTCTCCTCAGTGCAAGACATATGAAAGCCTGCATAGAGTTTGCCAAAAAACACATGAAGGACTCCCAGACTATGAGAAATAAGATTCTCTGGTCTGATGAGACCAAGATTGAACTTTTTGGCGTTAATTCTAAGCGGTATGTGTGGAGAAAACCAGGCACTGCTCATCACCTGCCCAATACAATCCCAACAGTGAAACATGGTGGTGGCAGCATCAGGCCATGGGGATATTTTTCAGCTGCAGGGACAGGACGACTGGTTGCAATTGAAGGAAAGATGAATGCGGCCAAGTACAGAGATATCCTGGAAGAAAAACCTCTTCTAGAGTGCTCAGGACCTCAGACTGGGCCGAAGGTTCACCTTCCAACAAGACAATAACCCTAAGCACACAGCTAAAATAACAAAGGAGTGGCTTCGGAACAACTCTGTGACCATTCTTGACTGGCCCAGCCAGAGCCCTGACCTAAACCCAATTGAGCATCTCTGGAGAGACCTGAAAATGGCTGTCCACCAACGTTCACCATCCAACCTGACAGAACTGGTGAGGATCTGCAAGGAAGAATGGCAGAGGATCCCCAAATCCAGGTGTGAAAAACTTGTTGCATCATTCCCAAGAAGACTCATGGCTGTAGTAGCTCAAAAGGGTGCTTCTACTCAATACTGAGCAAAGGGTCTGAATACTTATGACCATGTGATATTTCAGTTTTTCTTTTTTAATAAATTTGCAAAAATTTCTACATTTCTGTTTTTTTCTGTAAAGATGGGGTGCTGAGTGTACATTAATGAGAAATAAAATGAACTTTTTTGATTTTAGCAAATGGCTGCAATGAAACAAAGAGTGAAAAATTTAAAGGGGTCTGAATACTTTCCGTACCCACTGTATATCTTTAGACAGTGAGTCTCTAAGGTTTTTGGGGCCAAGTACAAGAATTTCGTTTTTTTCTGAGTTTAACATCAGAAAATTGCAGGTCATCCAGGATTTTATGTCCTTAAGACATGTTTGTAATTTAGATAATTGATTAATTTCATCGGGCTTGATCGATAGATATAACTGTGTATCATCTGCATAACAGTGAAAGTTAATGGAATGATTCCTAATAATGTTGCCTAAAGGGAGCATATATAAAGTAAATAGTATCGGTCCAAGTACAGAACCTTGTGGAACTCCATGACTAACTGTAGTATTTATTGAAGATTCATCTCTAACATGTACAAACTGTGAGCGATCTGATAAATATGACTTAAACCAGCTTAGTGCGGTTCCTTTAATGCCAATTTGATGCTCAAGTCTCTGTAAAAGAATATCATGGTCAATGGCGTCAAATGCAGCACTAAGATCTAATAATACAAGTACAGAGACAAGTCCATTGTCTGAAGCAATTAAAAGGTCATTATTAACTTTAACCAGAGCTGTCTCTGTGCTGTGATGAACTCTAAATCCTGACTGAAAATCCTCAAATAAACTATTGTTATGTAAAAAGTCACACAACTCTTTGGCGACTACTTTCTCCAGAATCTTAGAGAGGAAGGGGAGGTTAGAGATCGGTCTATAATTGGCTAAAACCCCTGGGTCAAGAGTGGGCTTTTTAAGAAGGGGTTTAATTACAGCTACTTTAAAGGACTGTGGTACATATCCTGATAATAAAGAAAGATTAATCATATCCAGTAAAGAAGTGCCAATTAAGGGTACGACTTCTTTAAGCAGCCTAGTTGGGATCGGGTCTAATAGACAGGTTGATGGCTTCGATGAAGAAATGATTGAAGTTAACTGATGAAGATCGATAGCAGAAAAACAGTCTAAATATATATCTGAGTTTACATTAGTAAAAGTCCCTGAACTTGGAGAGCCACTGAAAACTGTTGATGGTAGTTGGTTTCTCTAATAGTAATAATTTTATTATAGAAGAAGCTCATGAAATCATTGCTACTTAAGTTTATGGGGATATGTGGCTCAATAGAGTTGTGACTCTCTGTCAGCCTGGCTACAGTGCTGAAGAGGAACCTAGGGTTATTCTTATTTTCTTCTATTAGTGCTGAGTAATAGGCTCCTCTGGCATTACGGAGGGCCTTTCTATAAGTTTTAAGATTATCATGCCAAATTGAGCGATATTCTGATAATTTGGAAGAGCGCCATTTCCTTTCAGATTTCCAAGCTATTTGTTTTAACTGGCGGGTTTGGTGGTTATACTACGGTGCTAGTCTCCTATGTTTTAATAATTTCCTTTTTATAGGAGCGATAGAGTCTAATGTTGATTGTAGTGAGCCTGCAGCACTATCAACAAGATTATCAATTTCAGAGGGACTAAAGTTATTATAGGACTCTGTTAAATTCAGACATGGCATTGAATTAAACACTGAAGGAATCTCCTCCTTAAATTTAGCTACAGCACTGTCAGATAGACATCTGCTGTAGGACGTTTTACCTAATGGCTTATAATCTAATAGTATGAATTCAAAAGTTATTAAATAATGGTCAGATAGGAAAGGATTATGTGGGAAGACTATTAAATGTTCAATATCAATGCCATATGATAGAACAAGGTCAAGAGTGTGATTAAAACAATGAGTTGGTTTATTTACACTCTGACAGAAGCCAATTGAGTCTATAAATGATATAAATGCATTACTAAGGCTGTCATTGTCAACATCCACATGAATATTAAAATCACCCACAATAATGACTTTATCTGATTTAAGGACTAAACTTAATAAAAACTCTGAGAATTCAGATATAAAATCAGAGTACGGTCCAGGAGCGCGGTACACTATAACAAATAGAACTGGCTGCAGTGTTTTCCAGTTTGGGTGAGAAAGACTAAGAACAAGGCTTTCAAATGAATTATAATTTAGTTTAGGTTTAGGGTCCATTAAATTCCAAAGTGGGATGGATGCCGTCTCTCCTAATCAGACCAGGTTTTCCCCAAAAAGGCTTCCAGTTATCAATTAAGCCCACATGGTTTTCTGGACACCACCTCGACAGCAATGACGACATGCGGCTATACATGTCATCACTGGTCACATTGGGCAGGGGTCCAGAGAAAACTACGGAGTCCGACATAGTTTTAGCATAATTACACACCGACTCCACATTAATCTTAGTGACCTCCGATTGGCGTAAACGGGTGTCATTACCGCCGACGTGGATAACAATCTTACTGTATTTACGTTTATCTTTAGCCAGCAGTTTTAAATAGGATTCAATGTCGCCCGCTCTGGCCCCAGGGATACATTTGACTATGGCCGCTGGCTTCGCTAACTTCACGTTTCTGACTATGGAGCTGCCAATAACCAGAGTTGGTTACTCAGCGGGTGTATCGCTGAGTGGGGAAAATGTATTAGAAACATGAATGGGTTGGTGGTGACCTGTGGGCTTCGGTGTTTTAGTCTTCCTTCGCTCAGTCACCCACTCTCCCTGTCTTCCCGGCTGCTCGGGATCTACCGGGGGAACTACCGGGGGAACTACCGGAGGATCTACCGGAGGAACTACCGCGGGAACTACCGGGGGAACTACCGGGGGAACTACCGGAGGAACTACCGGGGGAACTACCGCGGGAACTACCGCGGGAACTACCGGAGGATCTACAGAGCTAACAGAAGCTACCTTCGGTCGGACCACACCGGCTACTGGGGGCTGGCTAACTATAGCGGCTAAAGATATCTCTGTGGTGCGGTACCGTTCCTCTAACTCACTAAGCCTCGCCTCCAGCGCAGTAAATAAACTACATTTAATACAGGTACCATTATCATTAAAGGAGGCAGAGGAATAACTGAACATCTGACACACTGAGCAGGACAGAGGAGAGGGAGAAGCCATAGCTAACTGCTAATGCTAATGAAACTAGCGTGTATGAAAAACTTTTGAAAGTAGTGAAAAGTCGCTAAAAGAAGGAGTAACTCTGAGTGTTTAGGTAGAACTAGTCTACATATAAATGTTAAGCGGGAAAATAACCGCTGTAATGAGTAAAACAAATTTATATTTAGCGTTCACTGACAGAGCTACAGCACCAAACAGTGTACACAGAGCAGGAAGTGAACCGGGAATGAGTCTGTACGCTTACCGTAGCACGTCACCTCAACAGTATGCAAATGCAAATGTTGAAAGCTTGATCTGTCACATACCTAAGCAATGGTACAGGTCACATACTGTAAACTACTCAGCAGTGTCAGTAATGTATGGGCCACAGTCACGGGCCAGAGCAAGGCACACTCAAAATTTCTTTAGGCATTTTCTAGTTATTGTTTATATTACAGTTTAATATTGTTTATTACTGTTTATTATTGTTTATTACAGTTTAATATTGTTTTACAGTTTAATATTGTTTATTACAGTTTAATATTGTTAATTACAGTTATTACAGTTTAATATTGTTTATTACAGTTTAATATTGTTTATTACAGTTTATTAATAGGCAATATAAATATATAATGTGCAATATATATATATTTTAACACTGTATATAGCACCGTATTTATTTTGCAAATGTACACACTCCTCAGGACTGTGCGCCTTACCTCCCTTTGTTGTACTATTACTTTATGTCCTATGTTTATAGTGTATATATTTTTTATATTTTTTACACTGTTTTTGCACTGGTATTGCAGTTGACTTTTTAATCTCATCGTACATGTGCATAGTGACAATAAAGGCATTCTATTATTGTTTATTACTGTTTATTATTGTTTGTTTATTACAGTTTACTACAGTTTATTATTGTTTACTACAGTTTATTATTGTTTATTATTGTTTATTACTGTTTAATATTGTTTATTACAGTTTATTACTGTTTACTACAGTTTATTATTGTTTACTACAGTTAATTATTGTTCATTACAGTTTAATATTGTTTATTACAGTTTAATATTGTTTATTACAGTTTATTATGTTTATTACTGTTTAATATTGTTTATTACTGTTTCTTTATTAATGTTTATTATAATTTATTACTGTTTATCATTGTTACAGTTTATTAATGTTTATTTACTGTTTACTAATGTTTATTATTGATTATTGTGTATTGATGTTTATTCTATTTTATTGTGCTTTATTGTTAATTACAGTTTATTATTGTTTATTAATGTTTATATTTTATTAATATGTTTTATTCTTTATTACAGTTTATTATTGTTTATTAATGAACATATATTCCCATTATTGTCCCAGTGAAGACAGACTACATTGTCGTTCCTGAGAACCAGCTGATAAACGGTCCTACAGTGTTCTCCCTGAATGATTTGTTTGTTTCTTTTTTTCTTATTGATTGATTGCTCATTGATAATCAGATTTTAAGGGTGGGGCCTAGCAGCAGGATTTGTGACATCACAGATTCTTTGGTCCAGTGTGCGACAGGTACAAGAAGAAGTTGTATGATTATTGTGTTTGTAGATCATTAATGGTGTTAAAATATCAGAAATATTATTGACAGACCTTCTGCAGGAGGACTGCACCTCCATCACCATCTTCATCATCTTCATTTTCTGCTGATCCTCTGGATGCTGTCATTTCCTGTCCACCCTCTGACTCCGCCTCCTCTGCATCGTTGTCAAGGGCGACGCCTTCTGTTGAGCTGAGTGAGGATTCAGACAGAGCCAGGAGGACCTCGCTCTCTTCCTCCTCCTCTTCCTCCTCCTCGCTCATCCTGATGACATCATCCTGCACCTCAACTTGTGAGGGGGCAGGGCCTTTAGGAGAACACCTCCTCCTCCTTCTCCTCAGGCTGGCGAGGGTCTGACAGTGGCGTCTGATTTGCTCTCTGGTCGTCATGGAGACAGAGGAAGTGGTGGTGATGTCAGAGGGGGAGTCGGTCCTGGACAAGAGGAGGCGGCGGAGGACGACTCGAGGAGGACTGAGAGCTCGAGGGCAGCCGGAAGAGTCCACCTGTCCATCAGCGAGGGGGGAAGAGTCCAGGTTACGAGGGGGAGGGGCTGGTGCAGCTGCAGGAAGCCAATGCGTTTGAAGTCGAGGTGTTTGGGGAGGCGTGGGGGTATCTGGTCCCGGGGGAGAAGCTATAGGTGTGGGAGGCACAGCGGAGGAAGGTCAGGTGACTCTGACGGGCCCCACCTGACCTGCAGGGGGGCAGGGCCTCGGTAGCAGAGTCAAAGAGGCTGTTATAGTGTTTGATGGTCGGGTAGATGACAGGAAGACTCCGCTGTGGAAAATAAAAGCAGGAAACAGAAATACTTTCAAAATAAAAATACACAAATATTACAGGTGATCTCTTTTAATCAAAACAACAAACTGTCCTGAACACACTTCCTGCCTTTATAGCTGTGCTTTTAATGTGAAAATCATCAGGAAGTGCTGAGACCAGCTGTTCTGGTTCTGATGGTGGATCAGGAACCTGGTGGATCAGGACTGTTACGTACCAGCAGCCACAGAGGCAGGACATGCTCCTCCCTCTCCACTGGGGGGCGCCGCTCCGCCGGATCAACAGGACGGCACGCAACCAACATCGGCTGCAACACCCGCTGGTACCGGAAGGCCTGAAGAAGAATACAGTCAGTACACAGTCAGTACACTCAGTATACAGTCAGTACACAGTCAGTAAACAGTCAGTACAGTCAGTATACAGTCAGTATACAGTCAGTACACAGTCAGTAAACAGTCAGTACACAGTCAGTACAGTCAGTACACAGTCAGTATACAGTCAGTACACAGTCAGTATACAGTCAGTACACAGTCAGTACACAGTCAGTACACAGTCAGTATACAGTCAGTAAACAGTCAGTAAACAGTCAGTACACAGTCAGTATACAGTCAGTAAACAGTCAGTACACAGTCAGTACACAGTCAGTGTACAGTCAGTGTACAGTCAGTATACAGTCAGTACACAGTCAGTACACAGTCAGTACACAGTCAGTGTACAGTCAGTGTACAGTCAGTATACAGTCAGTACACAGTCAGTACACAGTCAGTACACTCAGTAAACAGTCAGTACACAGTCAGTACAGTCAGTACACAGTCAGTACACAGTCAGTACACAGTCAGTACACTCAGTATACAGTCAGTACACAGTCAGTAAACAGTCAGTACAGTCAGTACACAGTCAGTATACAGTCAGTACACAGTCAGTACAGTCAGTATACAGTCAGTACACAGTCAGTATACAGTCAGTAAACAGTCAGTACACTCAGTATACAGTCAGTACACAGTCAGTACACAGTCAGTACACTCAGTATACAGTCAGTACACAGTCAGTACACAGTCAGTATACAGTAAGTACACAGTCAGTACACAGTCAGTACACTCAGTATACAGTCAGTACACAGTCAGTAAACAGTCAGTACAGTCAGTACACAGTCAGTATACAGTCAGTACACAGTCAGTACACAGTCAGTAAACAGTCAGTACACAGTCAGTACACAGTCAGTACAGTCAGTAAACAGTCAGTACACAGTCAGTACACAGTCAGTACACTCAGTATACAGTCAGTACACAGTCAGTAAACAGTCAGTACACAGTCAGTACACAGTCAGTACACAGTCAGTATACAGTCAGTACACAGTCAGTAAACAGTCAGTATACAGTCAGTACACAGTCAGTACACAGTCAGTACACAGTCAGTAAACAGTCAGTATACAGTCAGTGTACAGTCAGTACACAGTCAGTACACAGTCAGTACACTCAGTATACAGTCAGTACACAGTCAGTATACAGTCAGTACACAGTCAGTAAACAGTCAGTACACAGTCAGTATACAGTCAGTAAACAGTCAGTACAGTCAGTACACAGTCAGTATACAGTCAGTAAACAGTCAGTACACAGTCAGTACACTCAGTATACAGTCAGTACACAGTCAGTACACAGTCAGTAAACAGTCAGTATACAGTCAGTAAACAGTCAGTACACAGTCAGTACACTCAGTATACAGTCAGTACACAGTCAGTAAACAGTCAGTATACAGTCAGTACACAGTCAGTAAACAGTCAGTACACAGTCAGTATACAGTCAGTACACAGTCAGTACAGTCAGTACACAGTCAGTACACTCAGTATACAGTCAGTACACAGTCAGTAAACAGTCAGTACACAGTCAGTACAGTCAGTACACAGTCAGTAAACAGTCAGTACACAGTCAGTAAACAGTCAGTACACAGTCAGTACACAGTCAGTGCACAGTCAGTACACAGTCAGTACACTCAGTATACAGTCAGTACACAGTCAGTAAACAGTCAGTAAACAGTCAGTGCACAGTCAGTACAGTCAGTACACAGTCAGTAAACAGTCAGTAAACAGTCAGTACACAGTCAGCGCACAGTCAGTACAGTCAGTGTACAGTCAGTATACAGTCAGTACACAGTCAGTATACAGTCAGTACACAGTCAGTACACAGTCAGTGTACAGTCAGTAAACAGTCAGTACACAGTCAGCGCACAGTCAGTACAGTCAGTGTACAGTCAGTACACAGTCAGTACACAGTCAGCGTACAGTCAGTACACAGTCAGCGTACAGTCAGTACACAGTCAGCGTACAGTCAGTGTACAGTCAGTAAACAGTCAGTACACAGTCAGTAAACAGTCAGTACACAGTCAGTACAGTCAGTGTACAGTCAGTATACAGTCAGTACACAGTCAGTACACAGTCAGCGTACAGTCAGTGTACAGTCAGTAAACAATCAGTACACAGTCAGTACACAGTCAGTACACAGTCAGTACACAGTCAGCGTACAGTCAGTACACAGTCAGCGTACAGTCAGTGTACAGTCAGTAAACAGTCAGTACACAGTCAGTAAACAGTCAGTACACAGTCAGCACACAGTCAGTACAGTCAGTGTACAGTCAGTATACAGTAAGTACACAGTCAGTACACAGTCAGCGTACAGTCAGTGTACAGTCAGTATACAGTCAGTACACAGTCAGCCAGCCGCTAGTGTCGCTGTAGAGCATTTCTAGCGAGTTACCTGTCTCGATCAGCGGTGCCCATTACATCAATCGCGATCTACCGGTCGATCGCAAAGGTGGTGTGGGTAGATCGCATGGCATTTAAAAAAAAAAATAGACGTCAGCCTATCATCCATTCTAACGTCTGACCGTTTCTGACACACCGGTCAACACGCATGCACGCTCAAGAGCGGCAGTTACTATGGCAATTAACATTAATTATGGCAACATTCTAGCAAGCTAGCGAGTTGCCCAGTTAGCCTAACTTATTTCTATAGTACTACACTTAAGAAATTATATAAAAATGAGTGGGGGAGCTGGACCAAGTGAAAAGCCCAAAACCTACCACTTCCATACGGAATGGGAGGAGGACTTTTTTTTCCACAATGTCCTATTCGAAGTGCGTTTGCCTCATCTGCAAATCAACCATTGCTATTCTGAAGAAGGGAAATGTGGAGCGGCATTTTCGGACTATACATAAAAGCTACGACACTGACTTTCCACCAAAAAGAGAACTGAGAAGGAAAAAGGTGAAAGAACTAATATCCCAGTTGTCCGGACAGCAGGCCTTTTTCTCAAAGCTTACCACAAAAGCTAAGACCGCCACCAAAGCATCGTTCTTCAATCTATCTTATCTTCAATCAAAGCTCTCCAGCTGTCAAGAGGTACATTCACACATCGCTGTGAAGCAATGGCCGAGGATGTAACCCAGAAACTTTGGAGAGATATAGCGGACTGCAAGTGTTTCTCATTGCAATTGGATGAGTCTACAGACGTTAGTGAAAGCCCAGTCGTGCATTTTTATTCATATGGTGTTTACCGATATGATTTCAAAAGAGGAGCTGTTAACAGTGCTGCCCATGAAAGAACACACACGGGGAGAGGACATTTTCAGTCTTTTAAAAACTTTATTGAGAAAACTCAGCTCCCAGTGTGGAAATTGGTGTCCATCACCACGGACGGTACACCCGCAATGATTGGCCGCTCGAATGGATTTCTTGCCAAGTGCAGGGAGGATGATGCCTTCCCCAACTTCCTCAATTACCACTGCATAATACACCAACAAGCGCCAGATCTCTTCAAAGACAGCTGTTCCGTGTGCATCTGGAGAAGGCAGACTGCAACCACACTGAATTGTTGCTACACACTACACATACGTAAGATGGCTTAGTCGAGGGAAATTCCTGCAAAGATTTCGAGAGCTCTGTCCGGAGATTAAGGAGTTTCTCCTTGCATCTAAACATGCAGAATACACCCAACTAAATGACGATCAGTGGCTACTAGACTTAGCATTTTTAACCGATCTGACCAACATGTTGAATGACCTCAATGTTGAGCTGCAAGGAAAAGACAAAACAGTGGTCAATATGATCAGCTCAGTTAATGCGTTCAAACGAAAACTGCAACATCTGGGCTCAAAGCTGCAGCGCCTTGATTTGGCAAACTTCCAGAACCTCGTTTCAGAACTGGAGAGGCAAGGGAAGCCCTGTGCCCAACTTGACAGTGGACGCTACACAGAGCAGATTGAAAACCTTCTGTCAGACTTTAACAAACGGTTTCAAGACTTGCTTTATTGGAGCCAGTCACTACATTCATGTGCTACCCATTTTGGGAGGATGCTGATGTTGATTCACTCGCATCAGAAATTGCAACACTGTTTAACCTGAACTCGTCTGGAGTGGAGGATTAGATCCTGACACTACAAGCTGACATTGAGCTCAAGTCCAGGGCTCATGGACAGTTTTGGAACTTACTCACAGAGGAAAAGTACCCCAACATGAGGAAATGTGCTACCTCCTTGACTGCATTATTCGGCTTTACTTATTTATGTGAGTCAGCCTTTTGCCACATGAAGATTATCAAGTCCAAATACCGTTCCACTATGACTGATTATCATTTGGAAGTGTGCTTGAGGCTGGCTATCAGCAGCTACTGTCCGGACTATGCATCCCTGGCTGACTCCATTCAGTGCAAGTCATCAGCGTGAGGTATGTACTCAGTATATATAATTAAATATATTTACTTATGACACTTAACTTAAATGAGACACAACATAAAGTGCTTGTCCACCTCAGCCACTTTTTACATACCATCTAGCCGGCAGGTGTCTGGGGTTTGGTTATTAGTACAGATGTTGGGTTGAAACATGGTAAGGGAAATTGTATTATGTTTGCATTTGTGTTACATTAGATCTAAAAGGAACATTTTCCATTTGATTAATTTGTGTGTTTCTCACCTCTTGTCTAGATTGCACCCAGGAACTGGCAAACCAGTACCCGCCCAGGTGGACTCCTTTTATGGTCAAGTTCCTTGGGGAATGTGCCAAGTGTAGTATAGATGAGGGGGAAATTTAGGAGGCGTTTGGGAGATTTGTGATTTTTTGAGATTTTGAACAGTTGGCATCTATTTTACTCTTTTGATATGTGTTGTGAGTTCTTTCTACTGTTATACCTATAAAACTTAACAATTTGGTATTAAATAAATGAATGTGTTATTGTTGTTGTTATCTTAATTGTTGCATCCTGTGGTAGGAGGAAGTTGCCAGGGGCCCCAGTTTAAAAGGGGTATAGAGATCAGAGTTGAGGTTATTTTTGATACCTCTAGTTACCTTTTTCCTAAGTTGTTTCCATTTGTTTTCATTTTTATTTTGTTTGTTGTTTTCTCTTCAGTTTGGGTCAAGCTGACCCTCACTGTAAATAAGCTGCACTGATCCACTGCTTGGAAAAAAAGGGAAATAAAAATTTGGACTGACTGAACAGTTTCAAGGTCCCCTTCTTCCTGCCTTCACTTATGTTTAGCAGTTTTTAATGTAGGTAGATCAGTTTGACCTGGTCATTTTGAAAGTAGCTCACAAGCCGAAAAAGTGTGGGCACCCCTGGTCTAGATACTCCCTTTACACCAGAGATACTCATTGCGCGGCTCGCGAGCCACATGTGGCTCGTCAAGCTTTAATTGGTGGCTCGCATGGTAGCTTATAACATTATGGTAACACAGCAAATACATTTCTTCAAATGTGTTACATAAATATACAGTGAACACTGCACTGCATTATACTTCTCCTTTCACCTTAATTAATGGTGTTTCCTAAAGGGGGCACTGTCAAACCTGGCAACGCAGCTCGCTTATGGCATTGTTTACACTTGACTGCAGTACATGCTTGCAGCCAGGTTACGTTAGCTCCGCTAGCCAGCGTTAGATGCAGGCCAATAGATCGATTTCTAATAAACAAACCAGCACAAAAACCAGACAGCAGACACACAGTATTCTAACGAATAGTGAAGAAAAAGAGTCTGAGGAAGCAGCAAACGAAAATCAACATGAAGACGCCGGAGAGGGGACGAGCAGGCAAACGTCAGGTGTTCCCAGTAAAAAACGAAAGGTACGAGGCATACAAGATGAGCACAGCCCTAGTACACAGTCAGTATAAAGTCAGTACACAGAGTACACAGTCAGCACACAGTCAGTTGTTACCTTGACGATGTTGTCAGGGAAACCAGGTCTGCAGCACTGCAGGATTCTTCGCCGGACTTGGACCAGAGTCTTCCTCAGCAGGAACTGAGAGACCAGTTTAGTGGGATCAGATGAGCCCTCCATGTTCCTCAGACCCAGAACCAGCAGGCTGAGACCAAAGATAGACACACACTGAATACACACACACACACACTGAACCTGGTGGCTGACTGCAGTATAGACTCTCTCTCTCTCTCTCTCTCCCCCTGGTGGCTGACTGCAGTATAGACTCTCTCTCTCTCTATCTCCCCCTGGTGGCTGACTGCAGTATAGACACTCTCTCTCTCTCTCATCTCCCCTGGTGGCGACTGCAGTATAGACTCTCTCTCTCATCTCCCCTGGTGGCTGACTGCAGTATAGACTCTCTCTCTCTCTCTATCTCCCCTGGTGGCTGACTGCAGTATAACTCACTCTCATCTCCCCCTGGTGGCTGACTGCAGTATAGACTCTCTCTCTCTCTATCTCTCCCTGGTGGCTGACTGCAGTATAGACTCTC